TCACAGTCAGCAAAGGCATCCTAACATTGTACTGTTAATTGGTGTCTATTATCCTCCTCGTTCACAATTACCAATGTTAGTAATGGAGTATCTTCCTTTATCACTCACACAATGTCTGGAGAGAGAAGAGCTACCACTTCAAATGAAGTATTCTATTCTTCTTGATGTTGCTAAGGGTTTGTGTTATCTTCATGGTAAACGTCCTCCTATTGTACATCGTGACCTCACTGCTAATAACGTGTTACTGACCTCTTCATACTCAGCTAAGATATCAGATCTAGGAGTATCAAGATTAGTCGATACCTTTAAAAAGCATCACCTTACTATGGCACCTGGTAATGCTATGGTAATGCCACCAGAAGCTCTTAAAGATAATCCGGTATATGATCACAAGTTAGATGTATTCTCTTATGGTTGTCTCATTCTTCATGTACTTACTGGTCAATTCCCTGAGCCTACAAACCAGTTTGTTCCTGAACCTGGTAAAGAAAAATCCTTCACAAAAGCATTAGAATGGGATAGAAGATCAAACTACATTAAAGATTTACCAAAAGAGAATGAGCTCCTTCCTTTAGCAAGGGATTGTCTTAATGATGTTCCTACTGATAGACCAGAAATGATTTACTCTTTTGAATTCATGGAGCAGGTTCTATCAAAATATCCAAAAATGAAAAGTATTACAGAATTAATGAAAGAGAATGAAGCAGCAGAAAAACATATTTATGACTTAGATGCAGAAATTAAAGTATTAAAGCTTGAGAAAGTAGAAACTGAACAACTGAGAATAAATCATGAACAACTGACAGCAGAAATGAAACACTTACAAAGTATTCTTATATTAAAAGAAAAAGAATTAAATCATTGCACTCGAGTACTAAAAAAAACTGTGAGGAGTAAAGATGAACTTAAGCAACAAGAAGACAATATGGATTTACTCACTAAAGTAGAAGTTGATTTAAAGGAAGAGGATTTGATAGAGCTTGCTGCAATGAAGGAGGTGAGTGCAACAAGAAAACACGAGCAGCAGCTATCTGAATGTCAGAAAGAAAGTGAGGTCAGAGTACAAGTAGCTAAAGAGCAGCAGTCCAAAGCATGGACTGTAGGCAGGTGAGGCTCAGATTTGAAACTATCTTGTATGATATGGTATACATGTAAGCCAGGTTAATGGATAAAGACAATGCTTTGCTTGCTATACATTATGCATAGATCCAGTGTGATCCATGTGAATGATGCATTGCTTGTGTAGGCTTGCCTCATAAATGTTTTTCATTTGTTATTATAATTTTTGTGTAATTTAGAAAATAAGAACTTATTACTAGTAATAATGTGAAGAAGGTTGGCATAGAAAGTAAAAAATTCCATTGTGTGCATGTACAAAGATAAAATGCAATCTAATATTAATCATTTTGAGGATTCTCAATTTGTGTATTTTGCATTATTGGCCTAAACTTTATTCCCAAAATGTAAATGGTGAATAAGTGTAATTTTATCATTTGGAAATTTGAACCATGAGTATAGTGTCCTTGGTCATCTTATGCATTACATTGTAGCTGCATTCTTAAAATCATTTTATGTATATTTTAGTTCGTTTTTTCCTACATTATCACGTGTCGAAGCTGAGACTATACTCAAGCAAGAGGTAAGCATTATTACTATAATCATTGACACTACATTGTAATCACTGTAGAATAAAGATGGAACTTTTGTTGTTAGAAATTCCAGTCGAGAAAACTGCAATATCGTATCATTATGGTATGCCTACTAGTTTCTTTGATAGTGAGATTGTTAATGAGATTTCATACATCTGGTATTTTTTAAGGAGACAAATTTTGGTAAATTGCTAAATTTTTTGGTGAATTTCAGGTTGTAATTTGGCAAATTTGTCACCATGTATCATTGAGCATGCGCTCAAAATGATGGATTTTGTTTTAGTCAATGGCCAAATTTGCAAAAATTTCCCCCTCCAAAATTACCAGTATACTATGGAAGTCACATGCTATTGTAGCAGGGTAATTAAAATTCGAAAAATTATGATAATCAAATTAATGATTATGATTACCTACCTCATCATCTACTTTTCATTACAATTATGTGCATATAATTCTTTTATAAATTAATGGTGGTTATGCATCATAAATTCCCTCCAATTTTTAAGAAACAGAAGTTTTACACAATAATTTTGTATGGTTTTATTTATTATAATGCTCAATTTTTATGGTTCAATGAATTTAGACTACTGACTTCAACATATTTTTGTTGGCAAGATCCAATCATGCAATGTGCTGGCTCTATATTAATTATTTATTTGAAAAGCACATCTCTTTGTCTGTTTTTAAGAAATTTGAAATTTTGGACTTCACCCTTGGTTTTTTAATTCCTCAGAAATATCCTCATCCTAATGTACATTGAGAATATAGTCAAAATTGTGTCTCTTTTTTGCTTCCTCCATTGTTGCTATTAGTTTTAAAGGTCAAATCAGGCATTATCGCATTATGAATGATGATAAGAAAAAATATTTTATATCTGAGGGACATCGCTTTCCAACAATTGCAGAAGTTATTGAATATCACAAACTGAACAGAGGAGGTCAGTTTCATTTGAAGCTATGGGTATTATTAATACACATATGATCATCATCATCATTAGGTTTAGCTACCAGATTAAAACGACTCCCTGCTGTGTTAGTCCCAAATCAACCAGTTCTCTCATCTGCATTTGGTAATTTGTGATAGATACAATGACACAAAGAATTGA